GGACAGCATTCGATCGAGCAGATTAGGAGCCCTCTTTCAACCGGACAGTTTTGTCCACGGTAGGTTTTCCAGAAGGTTCCCACAGGAAGAGAGAAGGATGCCTCCTAGTGGTGCCCATCTCTTGTCACCTTTCTGTCCTCCTGCTTGCTTTTTGCCACAGGGAACTCTGGGGCCGGCAACAACTGGGCGAAGGGCCACTACACCGAGGGCGCCGAGCTGTTGGAGAACGTGCTGGAGGTGGTGCGGCGGGAGAGCGAGAGCTGCGACTGCCTGCAGGGCTTCCAGATCGTCCACTCCCTGGGCGGGGGCACGGGCTCCGGGATGGGCACCCTGCTCATGAACAAGATCAGGGAGGAGTACCCGGACCGGATCATAAACTCCTTCAGTGTCATGCCGTCCCCCAAGGTGTCGGACACGGTGGTGGAGCCCTACAACGCCATGCTGTCCATCCACCAGCTGGTGGAGAACGCAGACGCCTGCTTCTGCATCGACAACGAGGCCCTCTACGACATCTGCTTCCGCACCCTGAAGCTGACCACGCCCACCTACGGGGACCTCAACCACCTCGTGTCCCTCACCATGAGCGGGGTCACCACCTCACTGCGGTTCCCTGGCCAGCTCAACGCGGATCTGCGCAAGCTGGCGGTGAACATGGTCCCCTTCCCCCGCCTGCACTTCTTCATGCCCAGCTTTGCCCCACTCACAGCCCAGGGCAGCCAGCAGTACCGCGCCCTCTCGGTGGCCGAGCTCACCCAGCAGATGTTTGATGCCCGCAACATCATGGCTGCCTGTGACCCCCGCCGTGGCCGCTACCTGACCGTGGCCTGCATCTTCCGGGGCAAGATGTCCACCAAGGAAGTGGACCAAGAGCTGCTCTCTGTGCAGACGAGGCACAGCAGCTGCTTCGTGGAGTGGATTCCGAACAACGTCAAAGTGGCCGTCTGCGACATTCCCCCTCGGGGGCTGAGCATGGCGGCCACCTTCATTGGCAACAACACTGCCATCCAGGAGCTCTTCAACAGGGTCTCTGGGCATTTCTCAGCCATGTTCAAAAGGAGAGCTTTTGTGCACTGGTACACCAGCGAAGGGATGGACATAAACGAATTTGGGGAAGCTGAAAGTAATATCCATGATTTGATCTCCGAGTACCAGCAATTTCAAGATGCCAAAGCAATTCTAGAGGAGAATGAAGAAGTTGTGGAAGAGGCAGAAATGGGACCAGAAGATGAGAAACACTGACCACAAGAAGCTGGGTGGTGGGGTTGCTCACAGAACAGTTTCCCGAGGTGTTTTTCCTGCAGCACTCCAAAGCCTATCTGCACGGTAGTGCAGTGAATAATACGCACTTAGCATCAGCTTGACATGGGCACAGTGGGAGGGGGGTGGGGGAAGTAGCTGATTGGCATTAGGGTCTTCGGCTGACACTAACCTTGAAGAGTTTGAATTCAACACACACTCATTACCTTTTCCTTTTTCGTAGCAAAGTGAATTTATTGTCAAGCACTCCCTTTGTTTTAAAGTGTTTACTGGGCATTTACTGTGTGCAGAACCCTGTTCCAGACAGGCAGACCATACATGTGGATTTGCATGGGGCCACCACCGTTGACATTAATTTTTGAACTTTAGCAGCACTGACAAGTGCCCTAGAATCCTTACTTGGCATCCTGGGGCTGTCAGGACTCTTACCTGAGATTCTCTTGTCTTAACAAACACTGCCTGGCATCCTGCTGCCTTCCTGCGCTTGCAGGCCTCTGGGCAAGCGACTAACTAGTGAGTGGGGGTGAGGGAGCCACAGTAAACGTGTGCCAACATCCACTAGGAAACCGTGCAGCCCTTGTGTACAAGTCAACACACTAACCAGAAAGGGAAAGAGGGAGAAAAAGAAAAGTTAGTCCTCTCCACAGAAATACCTGGCTAAAAAATAAAAAAACAACAAAAAGACAGGCAAAACTAAAGAACTCCAGTCCTCTTACCTTCATTTCTGAATAGCTAGCTTTAAAATATCTATTTACATATTTTAAGTTTCATATTAGTGCAGATTCCAGGAATTCATTAATAATCATCTTTGGTTTTCCTTTTAAAGGCTATTTTGAAATGCCCTTTCACTTTGGTTCAGTAATCACCCCTGAAAATGCTCTGCAGCCTCTTTGCTCTTTGAGAAAGGGCACAGCGTAGGCTCGGCAACCATTCAAACGCAGGAATTAACAGCCAACGGCTGCAGTGTCCTTCTTGGTTACGGAGGACATCATCTCATTAGGGAACTTTTACAGTTCAAATTAATTTGCAGAAGTTGCCGTAAATGTTTGCATGATGACACAGCTTTAACCATTACATGATTTTAATCTGTTCACGTTACAACAGGACCAGATACACAGGAGCGTAATCAAATCATCCATAACTTCTTAATCATAGTTTGCGTATTTCTGACACGTAGCACTGCCACCCATCCCAGCACCGTAAGAGTCTTAATGGCCTTCCAGGATCACCACTGAGCCATACTATTTGATCCGTGGATATCTGGTAATGGGAAATGCTCCGACCCTCACTACAGGAAATTATTTACTTGCAGGCAACTAGGTTGTCATCTCCTGATTTGGTTTTGTAATCGGCAATAATAAAATAGCAGGTGGATGGATGACAGTTGCTTATTCTGAGAAATTTCACTCTTTTCATGTATGCATCACAAGGAATTAACTAAAATATATACTAAGAGAAAATTAGGCCTTGCTGTTTGTATCACTGACAAACCTTCTATTTACAAAATTAAAAAAACACAAAGCAAAAAAGTGTTTTAAATACTTCCTGCTTGTGGTTCAAGAAGCACTGGATTTTCCTCCTTCACACACTAAAGTAGAAAAAAAAAAGAAAAAAAAAAGAAGCACTGGATTTAGTAAAAACTGCACCTATACACTTAGTTTGCTAAGTTAATAACTTCCTAAAATGCTAAAGACTTACAGCCTGTGCTTATATAAGGACTTACAGACATGCTTCCTATGGCACTTCCCTTCTGAAACCTAAAAAGGCAATTAAATAGATATAAGGAAAGATATAGATTTAAATCCTTAAAAAAACTTCTGCTGATTTGTTACTGTGAAGATTTTTGTTTGTTTAATAGTAACTATTAAAGTACAAAAAATTTCAATTTTAAATGGCTAAATTGCTTTATTTCAGACTAAATAAATTCCTTTTCTTGGAGCCTAACAACCCAGACTGATTAATTTGAGTAGTTAAAAATATTTCCCCACCCATATCACCATCCTGCTCTTTTGTATGGTAGGAATAGATTAAAACAACAACAATAACAAACTAGAACCCAAGAAAAATTTGTCCCTTCTGATTTTGAAGAGCTTATTCCTTTAGCGGTATGGTTGCTACGGCGACATTGGTCTCTCGGAGACCGAGACAGCAGAATTACAGAATTTTACAACGTGTCTGATTCCTTCACTTCGCACACAAGCACTATATGGATGAAAAGATTAACTGACTCCCTCGAACAGCCCCAACTAGTTAGCAAAACACCCTCAAGTTGGTCTGATGAGGGTCCCCTCATCATTGGGCACAGCTGTCCTGCCAGCCACACAGCATGAGGTTTATTTCATGAGAGTACTAGTTCAGGATTTTTTTTAATCACAGAAAAAAAGGCTCAAAGAATCTTTGCTGGACATTAAATTTGTCTTTTACTGTTACTTTTATCCTTTCCGTATCACAAGCTTTGTCCCTAAGTCTCACTTCTAATTATCTTATCTACCTACCAAATAAATGACTTATTTCTAATTACTTTGCTAGAAATAATTTAGCCCTTTGCTTGTTACTTTATTTGTCTGGTATCAAAAAGGCCCTGCTGCCTTGTGATTCATTTATTCCTGTCCCCTGTAATGGAAGATGCTTCCTAGTACCTTATCTTGGGGACCATAACACTGAACTGAGGTGCCCTAACTTCTGAGCAGCAGGAGGACAGCCCTGAGGCAAAGGGCTCCAGGGGCTCCCAACCTGCTGCAGTCGGTACGGGCTCTCCCACTCAATCTGCCGCTCCTCCTTCCAAGTCCTGTGCTGAGAATTCAATGAAACCCACAGGTCAAGTGTCGGGGCAGTAAGTCATCCCCAGAGGCCGAGAACAAAGACATTTTCTTCAGCCTGTCCTCTGCACTGCTGAGAGTGGCCCTGATAAATTACTGTGAGTTTAAGTACCATGGGGAGAACTGGTCCTAGAACAGTGTTTCAAAATCTCCTGTTCAAAGGTATTACTCCCTTCTCCAAAAACAGTTAAAATCAAGCAGTTAAATTTGCAATGTTGTTTATTTGGCCAAGTGCTTCCAAGTTCCAAAGAAAAATAAAAACAAAAACTTGCAACAACTCTTCATCCCTAAATATTTAATGAATGAATGAATCACCACACAAACACCATGGAACTGCTGTAATCATCATGCCCCAGACCTGCGTCAAGAATCTTAGATTTTAATTTCAGCTTGGCCATCGACTCAATAAGCAAGTCACTGAATAGCTTTGCCTCATTTCCTATGAGAAATGCTACCCAATATAGATTCATTTATAGAATAATGTGAAAAGCATTTTGTGCTTAAATTCTAGCATTAATAGCTCTTCTCTATAGGTTTTAAGTGCATAATAAAAATGAGCACTACAATTTGTTCTAATCTATGCTTTTAGTAATTATTTTCATTTAGGATACTGGCTAAGCAGCACTGCTGCCTAGACAAAAGGATGAGCCGGTGGATAATGACCAATTCACTACTCTGACATGACTCTGCAATTCAAAGATAAGGGATGACAGAGCCTCAATGACAGTGCCTAATTTTGATCACCAATTAATGTCATGAAAAACACTTTCCATTTTGAGACATTTTCAAAATGTTTTCTGTCTTTCTTTGGTCTCTAAATATTAAATCTGCCCTCCCCCCTTTTAAGAAACCCTGGTCATAATCATGCAGTTGTGCAGATAGTTCCTTTAAAGAAAAAGCCTGATGGAAACTAAAAAACAATAGTAAGAGTGAACCATACTTCAATTTATTGGCATTGTCAATTTATGAACAAGATAGTATTTTTTTTTTTCCATGAAGTGAGATCATTTTCAATCTGCCATAACATGTGCCCACACATCTTCACCTTGGAACTCTGGCATTTCAAGCAGGGTCTAGGAGGAAAAAAGAAAATGCAACAGTTGCTAGCTAGTTCTTTGTGTTTTTTAAAAAAGCCAACATAAATGTGACAAACAACTTCCATATAGTTAACTGCGTAAGATAATTGTGGCTTTAATTCACACGGCCGGTGTCAGCCCCGATGTAAAAAAGTGCTGGTTCAAGTGCACAGCCTTAGCCGAACAGGCACTTCCCTAAGTAAAATTAAATACTCTCCTAGCAATAAAGAAGCTACTTTGCCTTTAAAAGACAATGAAATCTCCCCGTGCTAATGGGGTAGGGTCTCTATCCCTGCAGGACATAACAGAGAGGGGCCAAAGCTTTGCTTACAGGGGTTGAACACTACTTCCTGACCCCAAGGACACAGCAAAGTCACAGAGTTAGATGCAGAGTCTGGCTCAGCTGCACTGCAGAGGCTAAGTGATTTTCTCAGCTCATTGTAAAAACAAAACAACCCAACACAAAACCAGGTCTCATTACTCAGAATTATGAGATTAGACAGAGAGCCCCTAGAAAAAGGGCTAAATTCAAAATACCACGTTTCTAGACTTATAATAAAATATTTACTAATTCAAAATGAAAATGAAAAGTGCTTAGGGGAGACAGTTCCAATAAGTAAAATTGCTCATAACCACAAGCTGCCAAAGGATTAATATTTATCACATTTCTGTGCTACTGCAGGTCTGAATCTTTTTAAAAGCAAAACAAGAAAATTAAATCTGAAAAACATCTCTCAGATAATTTGCTTTGCTTATCTTTGAAATAACAATGTCAAGAAAAGTAGTTTAGGGATCAAATCACTTTTGTAGTTTGTAGCACCAAAGTCTGAAATTATCAACTGTATAAAACTGTTTTTTTCATTACATGAGAATGCAACTTTATATCACTAACATCTTTGGAGAAGTAAAATGAACCAAACCCTCTATAAGCATAATAAATTTAGCAAAACAGTATTCACCCCAGGATCTTGCAAGATTTTATTGCTTGATAAAATAGCAGGACCCTTGCCTGTACTTGTAGCCCTTATGTTCAGGAAGCAGTGATTTGTGAGAACATTAGCAGATGTGGGTGAAATAAAAACGAAAGGGACTGTAATTTTTCATGCTCCTGAACTGTTATGTAACTCCAATAGCAATTACAAAAGTGGGGAGTTTATCCTCCAAGTTATTTGATTCTGTGTAGACAAATGAAACAAGTTTAATTAAAAAAAGATGGTTCTCTACCTAAGCATTGCTAAATGAACTGAAAATCAATGTGCCAATTACTTGTGCTTGTCAGGGCCGAAAGGACATTCTTTTATTATGCCATGGGACTTCTATAACCTGTATGCTTTAAATTATTATCCCACTAACTTAGTTCTAAATGCACTGATTGAATGAAAAATGGACAGAACTCAAAACTAAAATGACTTTAACCTTTATGGTACTCTAAACATTTAAGATACAACTCTTCCTCTGAATAAATCAGTAACTTACAGATCATTCCTTTTTCACTTTCACAATTTTTATGTTGCTGCCAGAAGTCTTCTCGGCACGTGCTTTGAATTCTGCCTTCAGTGCATCTCTCACTGCTTTTGCACAGATCTGGGAGTATCGGATGTAGCTGGGAGAAAATGAAAGGAGATGAAGTTAATTATCAGTATCCAGCCAGACGGTTGTGTCACTGTGCTTTTATTTTTCTTCCTATATTTTAAATTTTGGTTTGGTTGTAAAGTATTGTAGAGCTGGATTTAAAAATGACTAATGCCAAAAGGAATGTATACAAAGAAAAAGAACACTAGAAGGAAATGTACCAAAGTATTAATTAGTGTTTGGATAAGTGATCTTTTATTTCTCTTCTTTTTACTGTGTTTTCTCTTTAGTGTATATTAATTTAAAATAAAAGATGCATAAATGTTTACAAAAATCCCACAGCACAGGAAAGAAAATAGACTAAAATTTTACAGAGGCTATAATAGGAATGATTTTCTTCCCATTTCCATACTTAAAACTTTCCTTTAATTTTATTTTTCTCGCAAGGTAAAGTATACATAATCAAAAGAGAAAAAAACTACCATGAATTAAAAGTTTCTCTAATAAATTATTTACAGGTTTTCCTGAGAATACTGGATTCTGTCTCACAAGTCTGCCATTGAAAATACCTCCTAATCAAGGTTTCTAAATTAAACTGAAAAGTCCTTAGAGAACATCATCAATTCTAGCAAAATTTAAAACCTGCTTCCTGTTTGGTAGACGGACTCCCATCAACATCTTATTTTCCAAAAGATGTCAGAACACTTTTCACACTTTTGGAAAACAGGAAGGGAGGGGGTGCCGTCTATTTTCTCATGTTTTAGAATTTATTTTTGGGAGTCAGAGGTAAGAGCTCCAATGCCTGCTTCCACTCTTACTAGGTGAGTGACCTTCAGGCTGTTCAATCTTTTCAGCTTGTTTATTCACCTGTAGAAAAAAATAGAATACAAGAATAATAATACTTGCCTTGCTGGTGTTTGGGAGGAGGAAAGACAAAGTGTGAAAACGCATGGACCACAAAATAGGTTACTTAATAAATGCTTTCTACTCCTGGGACTACTATCCTCCCAATTCTACAAAACTTTGCTTGACCTCTGCAAGTCAGGAAACTCTTGAGTTACTCAGTTGTGGTAAGGCAGTCATATATATATATGTATATATATGACTGCCTTACCCATAAAATGATATCACCAGAAGGTGTTACTCCATGTAGTCAACTTTTGCTCAATTCAGGTGTGAAGGCAAAGTAATTAGGTGTGATACCCAGACTACTACACTAGACACCGGTCCTCAAACGGGTTCCATACTTGCTCCCCAAGAGCCACCACTCACCTCTGTGCATAGTTCTCTACAGTTTACCAGGGGCTTTCATCCCTTCGCCCTTTTTACTGAGAAGGAAACTTGAGGTCAACATGCGCAACTTAAAATAAAAAAAATACCCATAACATTATAAACGACTCCACCTCGATGCTGGAAAGAAAGGCCAAAAATGGTAACAGGGGTTACGTCAAGAGAAATCTCTCCGCCCCTTCTATTTCCCAAGCTTTGGGTAACTATACTACCTTGAGGACATAAATCACTCATACTTCTCCAAGAAGAAGGGCTTCCTCAACTAAGAAGTGCTCTTCCTTGGGCATTCCCACGTCCACCCGAGGTGTTCAGGCACATGCTGTGGGAGGCTCGGCCGCCCACTTCACACCCTGCCTCGTGCCCCGCTGCCTCGGGAACCTGGCGCCTGCCCGCGTGTTGGCCACAGCGACGCCATCTTGGGGCGGCTATGCCCGAGGCCCGGCCCACCCGGTGGACCCCGGAGGCCCTGGTCACGCGTGGGCCGCTGCCCCCTGCCGTGCCCGGCCTGACCTCCCGACACCGGGCTGCGCCTCCCTCCGGAGGCTTGGGCCTACCTAAGTCCGGCCTGTCGCCAGTACGCCACCATGATGTCGCGAGAGTGCAGCGGGTCGGGCCGAATCGCGAGGACACCGTCAATGCCGGCTCGGCTCAGCAGGGTGGCCCAACACAGGAAGGTCAGGCCCAAGAAACGGAAGGGGCGGGGCGCACAGGCCTGCCAATCACCGTCTCTTACCCCGCCCCGCCCTCCCGCACGGCCCCTGCTACCCTGCCGTGGAAGCCCCCCGGCGCTGGGAACCAATGGGTGCGCGCGGCCTGGGCCGCGGGTGCCAATCGCCAGGCAGGACGGCCGGCCGCGCCTGCCAATTGGCTCCGCGACCGCCGGGCGTGTGACCTCCACCCCAGGCTTCCGTAGTTACCCTGGCGGGGGCGGTGGGGCAAGAGGGCTTCGGGGGCCCCCCCAGTCCCGCTGCCGGGGCGCTGAGCGCGTGTTTCGGGAGGGCGAGGACGCGGCGCGCGCACAGCCGCCGCGGAGGGCTTGTTTGCGCCCGCTGCAGGGAAACGGCGCCGGCTTTTTTTTGGTGGACAACCGAGTCCCAGAGTTGCGGTTCGAAAAGCACTGAGCACCGCACTTTTCCTCGAGTTCCAGCAGAAACCAAAGCAGAACCCCAGCCCGCAAGCATGCCCGTCCCCGACCTGTTCTGTAGTTTTAGGGCAGGGCCTATGTTCCCCAAGACGGAGGGGAAGAGAACAAAGCGCCTCTGATTTAGAACCCGACTGACCTTGGTAGCAGCTAAAGTGTTTGCTCATAAGGAAGAAAAAGTTTTTGCTCTTCACCTTTATTAAAAGAAATTATAATCAGGAAGAACATTATAGTTAAAAGAAAGTTTTTATTAAGGTTTTTCTTAATTCATATAAGTTCATTTTTAATATTAAATAGGGTTAGGTGCTCAGTAGTCCAAGTTTCATTTATGAATACTTTATTCCAGTTTAGTCCTCTTAAATGCATTTGCTTACTGTGTATTTATATTTTAACAGGTAAAAGCTATGAATTACCAGCTATTTAGAAAGAGGTAATTAACTGTATTGGAAAATAAAAATTTATACAATTTTCTCATTAGATCAGAGTTTAAAAAAATCAAATGAAGGATTAAGATTTGCTTAAAAATCTTTTATCATTATGGCATTATACTTTTCCAGAACAAGTATAATTTACAGAAATTATACAAGGCAACCTTTTATCAAATCTCAATGTTCAGAATGTTTTGTTTTGCTGAGATGTTATTTGTTGTAAAAACCATTTCTGGTTACAAAAAAAATGTCAAACTTTATAGATTTAACCTGTTTTTACAAATGTCCTAGGAAACCTTAAGCCAAATATTTTAAGTAGAAAAACAATAATTTTAGAATAGTTTGTTATACTACTTCTGTGGTTTATGCACATGTTTAACTGGTCTCTTTTATAGGAAATCTTACTAGTTTATCCCATTAAGCACTGTAAAATAAAGGCCAGAGCTAATCATCTTTTAACAACAATACTCTCAGCAACAAATGCACATATCAAAGATATTACTTAGTGGTTGATCACTGCCTCCTACAAAATATGAAACAAAGTACATTTGCTGGATTGTTTTTCAGCTTGCAGCTACCCTTTGGCATCCAAAATAAGGATTTCCCATAAATAAAAGCTGCAGTGCAATTCACTTAATGGTTAGTTTAGGCCAATCCTTCCCCCCATCCCAATTATTCTTTGTTCTGCCTCACTGCCCCCACACTGTATTATTAAAAACATTAAGTACCTGGGGTTTATGCTTCAGATCAAGACATCACTTGAGTAATTTCAAAATGATGTACAGCTATTCATGTAAAAAAGATGTTTTGTGGTCACAAGTATTTCAAAAAGTAATTATATTCAAATAACCTGACATATCATGCCTTAGCAATTACAAAACCATGATTTTGACACATGGCAATTTATAAGTTAGGCAAATGTGAATTGCTAAAAGATGTGAACAGCTGTTCTTCTGTTTAAGTTTAGAGTGCTGCAAAATTCAGGTAATGACTTTATTTTTTCAGTTAACATAACCAGCCCACGGCACAGCATACTAAATCACAAAGTACAAATCCAAGGAAGGTAATACCTTTACCAAGTCACAAAAATTTGGCAAATCAATACAGTACTCTTTAATACAATAAAATTTTATTTTTGTTGGAGTCATATATTACTTTAGAGGTAATTTTCACTCCAAAAATATTTAAGTACAAAACCAAAACACTGGTTTTTAAAGGTGGTTTATAGCAGAGCAAGTTATACAAATTAATATCTTTTAAAAGTATATAATTTCTCCTTTTAAAGTGAGTTCTCATGCAAGCTGTTGAAGTTACAGCAGCAGGGCAATCTCTGCTTTGTTTGGGGTTGGTCCAAAGCCAGGTAGAGTTCCAATGCATGAAAAGCTTTAAAATTCTACCTTAAGGAGAGTCAATGTCAATACCAATTTCCAAGTACTTTTAAGAAAACTTAAATTTTCATATAAATACTGGAAACCTTAAAATTAGCCATTTCAAACAACACTAATTTCAGATGATCCCTTTATTTAGAAGCCCTGTATCTCTGTTTTGATCAAGTCACATAGCCTAAATCAGCTTATTAAAAAAAAATTCTACCTAAAATATAGTTGTATTTTTTAAATAACAAATAAATATTGCCAGCTTGGAGAGACCTGGGGCACCCAACGTTATCTACCAACTGGTATTATCATTTTTCTACAAACGCTGCTGCTGCCATCGGAGTCCTTATGCTTCCTCTTGCTGAAGCCGTCAGTTCTTCAATCTCGGCATTTAATTTATGTATTACCCATTCCATTGCTTCTCGGCCCTTAAAAAAATACAATACATTTACTGTTACTGAGTGAGAGCAAAGGCATGTATCAAATAAATGGCACGCTAGTAAGTAACAAGGAGTGTTACAAGTATAACTAAACCTTACAATGACAGATCATTTTTGTTCTTGCTTTTTCTTTTCTAATGTTATTTAGCAAACATCAAATATCTTAAGCAACTGGCTTGATCCATAAACTGATTTTTATTTTGTATGCAAAAGATGTTCTCAAAAGAATCTACAATTGAATGACAGGATGTCTTCTTTCATGATTAGAATGGTCTCCTTTTTGGGCGTGAGAAGGTCAAATCTCTGTTATGACTACAATTTAAACCAAAATCCAGTACTAGGCCCAGCAGGATCTAATCACCGACTCCACTTTTGCCTCTTCTCCCTTGGTGCTCTATGCAGTTCCTTGAGAACAGAAGGAAGAACCTTTCGTACTTCCTGTCTCAGGGTCTTTGCATATGCAGCTCTTCCATTCAAAATGCCCTTACTGCCATACCCCTCACAACCAACCCAACCCCTATCTGGAACTCAGCAGAAACACCCCTCACTAAATGCTAGTTAGGCACTCTCATACCTTTCTGTACCTTTCTTTTCCTAATGACATGCTGTGTGATTGTCACCTTTCTTTAATTTCCACAAGGGCAGGGACTACATTTGTTTTGCTCCTCACTGCATCCCTAATCTAGCCTACCACTCTGCCTGGCACAGAGAAGGCATCTATGAGTATCTTTGACTGATGAACGACAATAAACCTATGTTATAAAACAGTGCATAAGGCATCTCTTTTTCTAAACTTACTTTGTTTTAAATCATGCATTCTCAATGGGGCTGATTCTCAATGAGGCAAAAATTAGTTCTTAGGGGGATAGAAAAAAACCCACTCATATGTGGTATTAGATAATTTCATGGAGGTAGTGATTGGGAAACAAATATCTAAAATGGACTTGGGAGGAGATAATAATGAAAAAAGGTTGAAAAACAGTGCTTTAAACAATGACACCCAGCTACACAGTGAACATCCTACATGCTATATTTTCCATGTTTACTCATTTATTTCAAGCCATGATGGGTATTCTCCACTTCACAGTTGGGAAACTGAGGCTTAGGAGGTTAACTTAATTGCCCAACATTGAAAGGCTGGTAAAGTTAGAGCTTAGATGTGAACTGAGCTGCCTGATGCTGTACGGTGTCTCACTGCAGATTGGCTGAGAGTCAGCTTACAAGGACAAACACACATTCACAGAACCAAGCTCTTCCAGGAAATGAACCCAGGGAATAATAAACAATGAAGCAGCAGCCTTACTTACTTTATTAGCATTTGAAGATATGGTACTTGCCATCAGTCCTTCAAGGTAACTGCTAAGGCTGACTCCTTTCACAGTGATTATGGCTTCTTGAGTCAAAATAGTTCTGGAACAAAACACATTAACACTGTTCGGACGACCCAATTTTCATTAGAAAAAAAAAATTAGATAAAAAAATTTAAAGCACCCTGTAAAGTAAGTCTGCTAAAAAAATTTTTTTTACTCACTTTTCTGGGTCCTGGGGATGTGGTTTGTATATAAGTCTTTCATCTACTGAAACCATATTTGTAAATGAAATCTACAGAATGGAAAAAAAAATGTCACATCATTTTGGAAAAGACGATTCAAACATTTCCAAAATTAACATACAACTGAAAATCTTACTAAACGAAACACAACAACAAAAAAACAACAAAGAAGCCACTGATATTTCTGCATAAATGTAACAAATTTCACCATCCATTGCCTACTTTTTATTTAAAAAAAACCTTGAGTATAGCAAGGCTAAGGAGGCTACCAACAGGGCAAAGACACACAGCACATGCAGTAAGGACATTCAAAACCACGTTGAGAACACAGATTCACTTCTGTATCAACTAGAAGAGAGACAAAAAACTAAGCCAGACAGTAAAATTTAAAAAGGGAGCCAAAACTTACATTAGTAGATTTAAGTTCCATTGTTTTCTCTACAGGATCAACTACAGAATGTTCTTGCACATATGTTTTGGTTCTTGCTGCACCAATAAGCTAAGTAAAACATTCAGAATTAGTAATCAGAGGAGGAAGAATTTCTTACCAAGTATATCAATATTTTATTTGAAGGTAAAAATGTGTTACAATATCTTGAACCAAAAATCTGTTTCATGAAAAACAGGAAGAAACAGACAAAGGTCAAAAAGGAGGCCTATTTAACATATCATGAATGAGCTGAGACACAAAAACATTTCCCAAAGGCAGTGAGGAACCAGCCCACTGAGAATGTGTGCAACATAAGGCACCACATCGAAATTTCCAAAGTGCAACAATG